TAACACATTGTTAACGGTGACACGGTTGGTACGCTGGGCATGCTAAAATACACATAAACACGTTTTCCTTAACTCAGCTTCGCGTTTATTTGTTTGTTTATGGGAGATTTGATCACGTGATTCGTGAGTAGATCTCCACGCCAGCAACGTAAATTACACCCTTTCTCTGTTTAAAGCGTATCGGTCGCTCAAGATTTTTTTAGTCCGTGTATTTAAAAACACTTAGTCAAGTCATACTTAATCAAGTGATTAGATAAAGTAGAAAATAAACTATATAAAAAACTTTTTGCATGTGTAGCAACGGACTAAAAAGGAGAAAATAAAATACTTAAAAAAAACTTTTTAAAAAACCACGTTTTTCTTGTGGACTAAAAAGTAGAAAATAAATTTTCATACATTTGATGACAAAAAACGTGGGTCGGGCAGATGGGTCGGGAAATTTGATGGTGAACGTACCCACGTTTTTTGTCATCAAATGTATGAAAATTTATTTTCTACTTTTTAGTCCACAAGAAAAACGTGGTTTTTTTAAAAGTTTTTTTTAAGTATTTTTTTTCATTCTGTTATCAAATCGTTTCTTTTGGAAATTAGGTTTTAATCGACTTTTTTTAGTGGCCAAATCTTGTTGGAGCCGCGCAGTTGTAAGTCAAGTAGTTGTTTTGATTTGTGTTAGGGCAGGTGCAGTAGTGTTTATGTGGCCATGTCACGTGGCTGATGAGCCATAACCATAGACAGCACCCCAGACATAACAATAGACAGAACCCCAGATATCGCATCCAAACATAATCACATACGAGATCAAAGTTAGTAAATTCTTATAACATCAAGAGGTAACAAACACCACGATTGTCATCTTTAACTCACTAGCTCTTTTATCGTACTTGTACGTCCACCACTCATCCGTGTAGAGCTAGGCTTGATGATCTCACTTGCCTTCAAACATCTCCCTGAGTCAGCTCGCGATAGTCCGTGTTATTGAAGAAACCTTACCTGTAATCTTTTTACCATTCTCTGAAGTGTGGGACGACAATGCAAATATTTCAGCATGATTTTTTTTCTCTGACATTAGATTTCAAAGAATTTTTTTTGTGTATGTGCTGACACGCGGGCGACATTTTTACTGGACAAAATGTCGCGAGCTGACACGAATGGACTTTAACGAATACACCTGAAGACGTATACTTACATCCGGGGTAATCGATTCGACTCCCCGAAATCGTTACAGACCCACTTTTAACTACATATGCCTGGCGATATTTAACGATAAGTACCCAAGCTGCACGGGCCTAATTGCCCGCTCTCAACCACCTCTCCTCCCGCTCTTCTCTCAGACTCCGGCTCTCAGAGTCGGGTGGGAGCCGGCGTTGACCTTTGATGGAGCGGGGATGAAGGTTTCAAGTAGGCCGCTCCGCCGGAGAACCAAGACGCATTAGCTTCCCGTCAAAGGTCAAAAAGCAACGGGATTTGTTTGAGCGAGCCTGGCCGCTTAACCGGCGTCCCTACCCGTACAACCGGCGTCCCTACCCTTACAACCGGCGTCCCTATCCGTGGAACCGGCGTCCCTATCCGTGGAACCGGCGTCCCTATCCGTGGAACTGGCGTCCCTACCCGTGGAACCGGCGTCCCTATCCGTGGAACCGGCGTCCCTACCCGAGAACCGGCGTCCCTATCCGTGGAACCGGCGTCCCTACCCGTACAACCGGCGTCCCTACCCTTACAACCGGCGTCCCTACCCGAGAACCGGCGTCCCTACCCGTAGAACCGGCGTCCCTACCCGTGGAACCAGCGTCCCTACCCGTGGAACCGGCGTCCCTATCCGTGGAACCGGCGTCCCTACCCGTACAACCAGCGTCCCTACCCGAGAACCGGCGTCCCTACCCGTAGAACCGGCGTCCCTACCCGTGGAACCAGCGTCCCTACCCGTGGAACCGGCGTCCCTATCCGTGGAACCGGCGTCCCTACCCGTACAACCAGCGTCCCTACCCGAGAACCGGCGTCCCTATCCGTGGAACCGGCGTCCCTATCCGTGGAACCCGCGTCCCTATCCGTGGAACCGGCGTCCCTACCCGTACAACCGGCGTCCCTACCCGTGGAACCGGCGTCCCTACCCGTGGAACCGGCTGCCCTTGGAACCGGCGTCCCTGCCGGATAATTGCCGGAGATGTTATGATAGTTATTACAACAAAGTATTGATCGCCATCTTACTTTTTACTTTGTTCAAACATCGCCTGGCGGTGGGGAACTTGAAAGGGGAGCTAATTTTAGCTTTTCGCCTTGATAGATGTGCAGCAGGGTTTCCGGGAGTAGAAATTGTTTGATAAGATTTAAATCAGGCGTTTAGTGGAGGGGGGGGGGTGGAGGTAATACCGTTTAAAACTAAAAATACGTGAATAGAGCCTTATACGGGAGTTCGTGAACGTTACCTACTATAATGTTTTAAATGGTAGTTTGTCCCGTTAAACACATATAGCGGGTTTGTTTTTTTAAATACATTGAGCAAACTATGTCCTTAAGTAAGTTTTTCAGACTAGTACAGTAATTGGTGTACAACGTCGCCGCTACGGTGTGGCTGTGTAAAGATTATTATCGACTACAACTACGACCCCTGCGGTATAAAACTAATATTTATTTACTGTAAGGGGGGGGGGGGGCGGCAGGGTATTCTATCGATCTGTCATGTGACCCCCTTACCCCATGTACCATCTTCATGTGACCCCTTTACTGTCTATACAATCATGTATTGATTGTATTCCATCATGAATGTACTAGTGGATTTAACCAACCACCCTGACCCTCCCCCTCCCCTTTCCCTTATAACAATCTAGTACTAGTTTTTCTAGCGCTTATTTTCCCATGTTGTCATCTCCATATTTGGTGATATTTCGGTCGTACCTTCGCAGCCGCCCACGTCGTCACAGAAATACCTGAAACCTTCACTTTTATATGACGTCACAAAGTCGTCGTCCCTCCTTCCCCTCCCCCCCCCCCCCCAATCCGAAATTTAAAAAAAATAAACAAATAAAATAAAACTATCTTAATGAATGAAAATGAGCATGCGTTCCATCATCGGTGTCACTAAAAAAAATTCGACGTTACATTTCTTTGACATCCCCTCCCCCCCCCCTTCCACATAGTACATAGCCACATAAGACTCAAACCCCCACCCCAGAGGTGTGGACAACCCCTAGCGTGGTGGATGTTGTTTATTTGTGGGTGGATGATACCCTAATCGAAGTTTCGGGAGGATCCAAGTTTTTATCTATAAAAAGACCAACAATATCTAACCATCTAATTTCTCCTTGATATACACGGCCCATAAAAAAACAGTTAAGAATCGCTTTGGTGCACGTATTTTCTTGGTTTCAACTCTAATAATTGTTGTACTATTTTTTCGTATAATTCAAGAAACAATTATTAGACATATCAAACTAAAAAAAAGTGATCCCCGAATTATCATCAAGGATACTATTCTATCAGTATACTATGCCCCCCCCCCCGTGTCAATTTTTTGTTGTTGTTTAGTTTATCAAATGACTTGATTGAGTGATTAACGTTTATTAGACTAAACCGCTCCCAAACGAATGAGCATCAATTGTTGACATGGCCGTGAGCCGGCATCCTCACGACACAACCTCTGCCATTTGCCGTGATCGAGAGAAAATGCCAGCCCCAAGCAGGAAGGTAATGGCAATGTAATGGCTGCAATCAATGGTAATGCTTACATTGTTACCAGCGCTCCGTCGCCGTGTATTGTTACTGAGATTTTTTAAAAGTCTCTCCGAGGACTGTCGTGTGTGTTTTTGAGTCGCAATTTATTAAGCTATTTTTACGTTCATAGTCTCGCCGGGGTTGTGCGTCTTCGCTGGCCCGCGGGCCGTAGGTTGGAGAGATACGGCCGGAAGAAAGTATTGTCGAGAATTATATCTGGTCTTGGTTGATGATTATAGGGGTTAGATAATATGATTTATATACATTTAAAATACATGTTAAACTACAAGTAGATTTAAAAACCAGGCACTCTTGGGTATTAGGTATCAGCCACTGGATTTTAAAAAAGTAATATATTATTTTATGTTTGTAATACTCTGTATACTTTTTTTTTGTTTATGAAAGATGGAAATTTAAAAAAAAAACGTGAGTTATCTCCCCTAATTTTCCCTTACAATCGTCTATAGCATTAAAAGTTGGGATTGCACTTCCAGTGCCACTTTTGTTTAACCGGAAATCGTTTAAAGGTTTATAGAAACCTGGCATACAAGGTAATACATATATGCGAAATTTGGTCCACCTAACTTAAACCGTACTCAAGTTATCACACACAACCACAGACAGACAAGCACACATATATACATACATACAAAAATGGCAAAACTAAGTTTTCAAAGCAGGGAGGTACAAAAAAAAAAGTCTGATTTCTATTTTTTCATGATTACAACACTTCCTCTATATTCTATATACGTGAAGGTCAAAACGTAACATACTGTTTTTGTAAAGCCTACACTGCTACAGTCTCGGTTGTATGATTACTGTTTGATTCTGGCTTTTTACGTCTAACAGAATGATGCACGATACAATATACGGCAAAGGGCAGTGTTAGCTAACAACATAAGCTCTATGTACCTCGTTTGTTCCTGCTGGTCGTCAGTACATTTAATGTTTGTCCACATCTACGGCATGTCATGTATAACCTCATTGCTCTAGTGTTGCTTGTGTTTATGTTAAATGTACGAGTTTTTATTATGACCTATGTCAATCTCTCTTCAACTTCTGAGATAAATTTGAGATATGTTATTAATATATGAGAATTATCTGAGATTTGTATAACATAAATCTGAGATGATATGATATAAATCTGAGGTGTATGAGAGAAATCTGAGATGAAATGATATAAATCTGAGACTAGTATGAGATAAATCTGAGACTAGTATGATATAAATCTGAGACTAGTATGAGATAAATCTGAATATGAGACTGACCACATATCTCTTTGTTTCCCCCAGTTCAGGAGATGAGAATCTGATCTTGACCTGTGGTATCTCACCTGACGGCCAGTGGGCGGCGGTGTGTGACGACAGGAAGACCTTACACCTGTACAAGCTGGCCGATGGACGGCTACATCTGACGTCATCCAGGTGAGTCGCCCTCCTCTGCTGTTGTGTAAGCTAAAACATTGTGTTGTAGTGCACTAGATATGCAACATCAAACACACTTGAAATTTTAGACTTGTGCTTTAGGTATTTCGCTGAAAGTCTAGTGTAGTCAGTCTAGTGGTACTTTTCTAATAATGAAACAAGTATATTTTTATAAGTGAGCCAAATTTTAGACATGTGCTTTAAGTATATAGCTGAATGTCTAGTGGTACTTTTCAAATAATGAACAAGTATATTTTTAAAAGTGAGCATTAGAACTCTGGGACTATACTCAGCATGTCGGTCAATAAGTTATCCATGCAGTGGCGTACTTAGGTTAAAGAACTTAGTTTCTTGTAAAAAAAAATGTAAACAAATATACTAACGCTGTCAGCCACTTTACTTGTATTTCCACCAGTCGGTACTAACGACATTTCATCATAACCGAAATGTGTAAACATGCGACATTTCTATAACCCGCACTTGTGACCTACAACATCCACTACTCTTTTGTCGAATTATCGGTTTTAAAACAGTGCTACCATTCATTAAAACCGCTGCTTGTCTGAAGAAGGCCTTGGGTCGAAACGTCAGCTGCTCTGGCCTGCACTTGAGTCCGTCTTTACCTGGGCATTCAGCGGTAGGAAGCGTTGGCCGGTGCCGCGGGTTGATGAAGTCTACGTACACTAGGTTGATGAGTCCAGGCTATTGTGGTGTCCACTCTACTCACGCCAGACCCAACAACCTACTTACTGTTATCTAGTGGAGAACTTACTGTACCTACTTGTACTGGTTTTAAGCATGTTTTTTTGTTTATAGTTTGTATGAAAAGATGTTGTTTAGTGTCGGTAGTACGGATTAGAGAGTATTGAAAACTGTATGGATGGTACTTGGTGCTGGTGAGCGTGGTGTTCCGGTGTTTTGTTGATACGTCAAGCTGGAGGGTCGGGGTTAGGTGACACATGGACTGACTGACAGTGGTGACACATGGACTGACAGACACTGGTGACACATGGACTGACTGACAGTGGGGACACATGGATGTACTGACACTGGTGACATATGGATGGACAGAGTGGCGACACGTAGCCGGACTGACACGTGTAACATATGGACTGACAGATACTGGTGACACATGGACGGACAGACGCTGATGACACATGGAATGACAGATACTGATGACACAAATGTTGGTGGATGGCAGGCCGGACAGACACTGGTGACACATGGACGGACAGACACTAATGATACAAATTTTGTTTGATGACACAAATGTAGTGGATGGCAGGACGGACTTGCGGTCTCTTTCTACAAGAGTCTACTTGACAGTTTTTATGCACTTCGTAGCTTCTTAGTTAAAATGCCCTCACTTTTGATACGTTTAAAAACAAACTACTTTTATACACACTGTCATATGCTCTAAACACAATGTGTGAATTAAGTCTACTGGGGAGCTATAGAAATAGTTAACAATATGAGTGGCACTAAGTTAGCAGACCTATACTGCCCCCGCCCACCACGCATATTGCACACACACACAAAAACGTTTGAATCTAATCGAAATACTGAATGCACTACCATCTTAGTAGCTGTCGACAACAGGCGAAGTGTCACAAGTTTGGCTTACCCTGGGCCAATCAACAAACTTTTAAAAATCTTAAACATACATGAGGTAGTTACCCAAACAACATAAAAAAAACGCAGTTCATAGTCTGGGCTAGGCGGAATTTTTCCGAAACAAATATAAGAATCGGCCTGATCCGACACAATAAAATTTTTGATGAATTTTCCTGCTCCATTTTTTTCTCTCAGCTTCCTCATCGATCTAGACGTTTTCCCTTTTCCTCTAATTCTTTTAATTTTATCTGATTGGGAAAATGACATTTTTCCCGCTATTTGTCCTATTTATCAGCATGTTTGCGGTAGCGATTAAGTTGCGTCACAATACGGCTCCAAATGTGCCAATGTTTTTACATCGGATTTTCCCAATTTGTCCATAGCCAAGTTGGCTGTTATCACGGCGAAAAAAAAAGGTGCCTCGCCATTTTAGTGGTTAGTTAACGCGGAGAACATCTTTTTGGCCAGTGTGTTCTGGGGGACTGGTGTTTAGATTTCTCTGCACGGTTTTATTTTTAGTTTTTTGTTTATGAAAAAAAAATAGAATGTCATTTCATTTCTCAAGTTAATAATTATTTGGCTTTTATCAGACGATAATATTTATTTTTTAAAATCTCTGAAATATTGTAAGATTTACGGTTTGTTATTAGTTTTGGTAGAGAGAAATACATAACGAGTAAATAATTGTTGGGACCATTATCCAATGGATACACCTTTAAAGACACGGGTATCTTATAAGATTCTTGAGTATGCATAGGGTGCATGAAGTTCATCTCTTTGACCTCAGTATGTTTAGGGATTATCGATGTTTAGGGATTATCAGAATTACAGCGTACTTGGACGCCTACACTGGCTTCAGTCGGGTACCCACCAGAGCTGAGTCGACTCAGGGAGGTATTCCAGACTCGAGCCCGAGACTAGTGTTTGACAACTCCGTCCCTTTACTAGATTAGCATATGTACAAGTATTTAAACTCCAATATAACTGTCAACGAAATGAAATTTAACATCACTGTTATGTCCTTTATGTATGTAAGTCGATAAGTTTTTGTTTTATAAGCAGAACTATTCCTTGAGTTTAATGAAATAACACTAAGCATACATATTTTAATAGTTTAATTAAATAGCACTCAGCATACATATTCCTCGAGTTTAATAAAATAACACTTAGCATACATATTCATTGAGTTAGTTTTTGGTAAACTCTGAAACATATTTCGCATATAATCTCAGTCCAACAATTAAAAAATATTCTAATAATCTTACTTGTCAAAGAATGGGATTTTTAGTTTTATCAATACACTTTTTTATTTTAAATTGATCAGGATTCGAACTTTCAAAATAGCTATAAAAGCATTCGTAACAGATCTTATATTATAACCACACCAAGATGGAGTGTTTATTATTTTAAAGGAATCCGTCCTTCATTGCCACCAGGATAAAATAATTTAAACAGTTTAATTTAAAATGACGATTCAAAAACCACGTCAAGATAGAGATAGAGCGAGCGAGAGAGAGAAAGGCAGAGAGAAACGAGTTAGAGTTGGATCTAGAAACGAGAAGAAAGAAGAAAAAAAACTCTTGAGAAATGGAAGTTAGAGTGAGTGAAATGAAAAAATAATAGAACTCTTGGCGCGTTTTTAAGATCCCCATCAGCTGTTGGTCCGTCGTTTTTTTCTCAGACAGACAAAGATGAAAGGTTCCATTTGAAGTATCCCCCCCCCCCTACCCCTTTTCAACGCCTCGCCCTGTAGTTCTGTTTTCTCTCTCATCGCCAACCCCGGTCGTGTTCTCTACCCCCCCCCCCCTCTTCCATACTCTCGTACCAATCTTCTTTGCCCATGCGCACTCCCCGCGTGGTTGCAATCCTCTTTATTCATTAATTAATTTACAAACACTTGGAGCCTCTACAAGTAGCGGGGAATGTCTTTTGTCCACAGTAATCTTACAACACCACCCCCCCCCTCTACCCTAGTACTTACCGCCCCTTTCTCCTTCAACTTGGTCACCCCATTACATCAGTCCTCTTCTCACTCTCATTCTTCAATGGTTTGACTCACATTTCACACCCCCCCCCACCCCTCGGATTTCGGATTTACCCCCGCTCTTCCCCCCCCCCCCCCCAACACATCATAACCCACTTCATTCAATCTCCTTTATTTTATAGTTCAACAATTGTTTTCTAGTGTTGTTTCAACCTGTCATGTTTTAGAACCACCCCACCCCACCACCCCACCCTCCAGCACGCCACGCCCATTTGTCACATGCATTTCCCATTATCCGATGTATTCATTTCTCGCTTGACCTCCGTTATTTCCTGCTACTTCAAGCCCCGATGTCACGTGGGCCACCAACCACTGACTGTAAACCCAATTAGCTGCTGACGTGTTTGTACACAGCCTCCCCCTCCCCCGGGCCAGTCAAGCGGATCTACTCACTTGGATGTGGGAGGGGGGGGGGGTGGCATAATTATTGCACAGACATTTTGTATTTACATTTTTAAGATATTTTTTCTAGATATTTTTAAATAACTGTATACTGAAACCTTTTTTTTTCTTATATTCTAACCTCAACATTGTCATCAGTTACATGTTATTATATTTTGTTATACAAATGACCGGAACGCGGATGAGTCTACTTATTCTACAAAGCTCGCGATTCTTCTTTCCGTAAAGCGACTACTCCTGCAGTGACATCTCGCGGTGCGTGACGTCTTGGATCACGTGACCCATACCCCCCCCCACCCATCTCCACCCCACGGGCGCACTCAAGCAGCCATCAAACTGTATCTGCTGCCGGCGCTAATGCAGCGGTCCTCGCGCTGGTCAAGGTGAAGGACCTGTGCTAATTGTGTGCACGTGTCAGAGTACGTACAGCGGGTGGGTGCCGGGGACAGGTCGAGGGCTTGATTAGCTTTTAGAGAGACAACATCCCTACTTGCGGGACAGTCTTGTTGAATTCATTCAGCCAGGTTTGTGTTGACGTGTATAGAGTTGGCTTTCAGTAGAGAAAAGTGTACCCAACCCGTACTCACATGCCCTTGTAGCGACCTCTATGTTCCATCACCAACATACACTGCCGTGGAGCTCTTTCATCTGCAATAGCTCTTTCTATCCTAGGCATTAACCCCCCCCCCCATTAGCCATCTCCCCCACACCCCTCATTCATAATCTCCACCGCACCCTCCCTTCTCAACACAAACTCGAACAGTCTATAACGGAAGAAACCGAAGACCTCTTTAACTCTTTTCTTTATATTTTCCTATTTCGCCTCTCTCTCGATATTATATATATATATATATATATATATATATATATATATATATATATATATATATATATATGTATATGTATATATGTATATATATATATATATATATTATACGTA